TTTAATATTCAAGTCAACTGGCACATGATACAGTTGATGAGCGAAGACAATATAGTTTTGTGTTATTTCTGTAGAACAAGGACTTCTGGAAGCAAGAAGACGGAGGCGGAGGAGGAAAGATAGTCAAGAGGCGGCAGACGAAGACAGAGTGTTGAAGAATTAAGACAAAAAAAAAAAATTCTTACTCAAAAAATTACTCGTTACTTTATTATTCAAAGAGATCGGTATTTTCTTTCGTTTTTCTTTTGATTTTGCGATAAAACAATTACAAAGAATATTAGAAAAAAAAAATTTAGCTCATGATTTGAAAGAGTCCAAAAAAAAATTGCCTCTTTGAAGTTTATTTTCCCATTTTTTTTCTACATTTTTATATATTGATGTATATGTTATGTTATACAGTCTTCTAAGACTTATTTATTCAACCTATTTATACAATTATCTGTGCAAATCTAAAAAAAAAAAACGATTTTTTTCTTTGATTTATAATTGAGAACGGTTTTTTTTTTCTTTTGATTTTGTTGACACACCACTGTCTATTCAGTGTGCTGTATGCAATATTGAAAACTAAAGTGTTGTTCTAAATTTTGAAGATCCACATCACATTACATCATTGTCATCATCATCATCAGCAGTGACAACCAGAAGTATCAGTAGCAGTAGCAGCAATAGTATTATTATAAATGCTTAGTCATCAAGTCATAAAATCACGTAATAAAATCATCATCATCTAACAATCAACATTTTTTTCTGACTGTAGTAGTTGTGTGTAAAACTATTAATTATGTTAATTGTTTACCTTCGTCAAGTAAAAATATTTCATTTATAAAATTTTAGCATCGTTGAATGTGCTGTTAGCAGTATCATTTGCTTTTTTTTTTGTAGTTTCAACTCATTGTCTACATTGAATTGATTCTGTTTGCCAGATACTGTGAACCGGAAATTATTGATCGATGTAATATTAGGTTCTGAACCTAATAACTGTGTGGTTGGTATCGATGTTTGAACAGAGATAATAGTCGATAATCATTTTGACATCAATAAAGATACACCATACAGAAAAGAAAAACAAAAATACCCTTTTTTTTTTTTCATTTCAAAATTTGTTAGTTTTGCACTAATTAATTGCCAGCAATAAAAGGTTTGACGAATTGAAAAAAAAGAAAGTACTTTTTTTCTCTTAAATAGCTTCATACTTCCTTTTTTTTTTTTATTTTCATCAATGCAATTACTTTTTATGTATACGTATTTATGTATGTTTGATGTATCAGCAGATTTGAAACGTTGACTAAAGCCTTATTTTTCTGGTTTCTCTCTTCGGAACTGTTTGATGGTTACGTTCGCAAACTGGAAAAAATTTTTTATTGAGAAATGAACTGCACTGCTTTGGACATTTAGGTGCAGCTTTTCTGAGCGTTTTTTTTTTTTTTTCTTTGATTGAATGTCGTCTTTAGATGTACAATAATTATTGAAAATATTGTTCAAAAACCTCGCGGATAAGCTAAAAAACAGTGACAATACCTGATAGTTTTTTACTTGCTTAATAATAGATTTAACTGCTTTTTTTTTGAGTTGACCTCATTTTCTTATACTTTGTCTGTTGTTGTTGCTATAGCTGTTGCAATAATTCATTTTACTTTTAGTCATATTAAACAGAAGCCAATGTTGAGCATAGAAAGAAAAAAATCTGTTGTTTTTTTTTGTCATTACGTATTGCAAATTCAGTATCTAATAGTAAAAAATATGCTCTTAAATAATCTTGAAATGCTTAGATTGATCTACAAATTAGGCTAAATAGAAAAACCGGTTAAAGTTGAGTCTCTGTCACTAATATTACTGCTACTGCTGTCGTTATTGTTGATAATAATTAGAATTTTTCTAACTGCTAAACTAATGTATGCTCCATGATAATATAATTGTTTGTTTTAACTGTAATTAAAATATCTAAACAAAAAAAAAATAATAAAAAAAGTTTTAAAAAATTTGGTTGTTAAAGAAAAAAAAAACACAAAAGAGAAACGATTAATTGACCGAGCAGTTATTTTTTTTTTTTATTTGTCTTTAATTGCTTGTAAAACTGCAATAAAGTCGTAAACCACAGACAAAAACAGACAACGAAACAGATTGTTTTTATCTCTTAGGACTAAAAAAGCTAGGTTTTTTTTTTTTTTTT